AAGCCGCCAGGTCCAGGACTCGAACTGCGGTCGACTACATGGGAGTCCAGCGACATGGCCATTATGCTAGCTGATGGTCCCTATTTCTTCCACATTTATCATTAGGGAAAATATAATTTCCCCCCAAGTTTAAGAAACATTACGTTAGAAGTCTTGAATTGTAAAAATTATAGGGAAACGTTTTAGATTAGATTAAAATTAAAATAGTATCATATAATTGCTTTTAGCTAACAAAAGACATCAGAATAAATAAATGTATACAAAATCATAGTGGTGAGCAAATGAAGGGAAGGGGAGTAAGCGCGGATTTGGCCCAATTATCATATTGATAAAAATAGATAAATGACAGAAAAAGGAAAAGAAAAATGGTAGAGAAGAAATTACATGAGGACAGTCAGTTGGCTTCTTCAGACTACTTTCAAAAAATAATCTTGTCCTGGGACCAGCAGTTAGCGTAATGGCTATGTCGCTGTACTCCCATGTTGTTGACCGAAGTTTGAGTCCTGGACCCAGTGGCTTAAACTCAAGCCGGGCTCATGTGCGTGGGTGCCCAAGATCTGAGGAGAAGGGATTGCAGCATGGCTCTCCCCCTCCCCTGGGGGGGTGGGGGTGGGTGATTTCTCGCTTTCTGTCTCTCTGTCTCTCTCTGTCTGGCGAGTGCACAGCGCCCTACAGCAAAAAACCTCTCAAAAAAGAAAAACTCTTGTCCCTTTTAAAAAAAATTAGTTATTCGATGGGAGCAGCCGGGCAGAAAAACTCTTGTCCCTTTTAAAAAAAATTATTCTATGGGAGCAGCCGGGTGTATGATTACAACATTGGACTGGGATGTTGTTCACCAGTTTGAGTCCCAGACACAGTGCCTTAAAACTCATGCCCAGCACAGGTACTGCCCAAAATCCTGAGAGAATGGAGAAGGGATTGCGGCATGGCCATACTCCCTGGGAGTGATTTCTCCCTTTCTGTCTCTCCGGTGCAAACACGTGCACTCTAGCAAAAACAAACAAACAAAAAAAACTCCCTAAAAAAAGGAAGGAAAAAAGAAAAAAATAGTTATTCAAAATTTTGTTTTTCCCTCCTCTCTATTTTTTTTAATTTAAATTTATTTTCGTTCATTCACTGTACATCATTACAGCATACAAAACGAGGTTTTTCCATCCAGAGTACACAGTATATTGTCTCAATCAAGCACATCAACATACATGTTATGGTCAACAAATAATTTTCCATTTCTTGTTTCCTGTATGTTTTGCTCCCCCCCCCCAACCTTGATTCCCTACCGCTATTCTCTTGATTAAACTTCAGTAGTCATGCATAATGTACCAGGAGAGCTATTTTAACAAAGAACCCTAAGGTTAAGTTACAAAGAGCTTCCTGGGGAGAAGAGAAGCCACCTGCGGGGAGCAGTGTGAGGACAGAAAACCCACCTAAAGAGGAAGAGGACGTTGTTACAGAGGTTCTCTCAAGGAAACGGTATACGGGAGGCGTAAGTTGTGAAGGCCCAACATGTCTACGTTGTACGTGTTTTGACATGGCTTGAATCTCCTGTCTATGCTCAGGACTGGCACTAGTCCGGGAATTTGGGAGAAATCTCGGCCGACTTGAAAACCATGCCAAAGCTTTAGCTGTTACGACGAACAACTTTTTTTCTCTCTCCTTTCCACGTGCCGAGCACTTTTCACACAACGCGCACCATATCACCACGTAACAGATATGGAAGATAGCGTCATCACGGCTTTAGAGATAAATTCGAGCTACGAAGAATCATAAAGTGCCCAAGATCACCTTCGCAAAAACTGGTGCATTCCAAAGGAAACCGCTGGCGAACCAAAATATCTGCTCTAAACTCTAATACCGCGGGCGCCTCACAGGGGTCACGGTAAGGTCAGACAAGCTGGGGCTGCGCGCGGGCACGGACCCGGGAGAGAGCTGCACGCAGAGGCCAATCCCGCCCGGTCGCCTCTCTCTCCGAGTTCCCGACAGCGTGCGAGCGCGCAGGGCGGACGCCGACGCCGCGGCGGGGTAGAGCTCGCTGAGAGGGCGGCGGCAGGAAACGGCCGGCGGATAAGAACGCGCTCGGTCCCGTCTCGGACGGCAGACGGCAAGTTCCGCTGGAGGACGGAGCTCGAGCCTTCCAGAAGGTCCGGGCCGCCAAGCCCATCCCGGCGTCCTTTGCGCCGCAGACCGCCCCGGTCCCTTCGGCCGCCGTCATTTCGGAGTTGCTATAGAAACCCCGGCTGTAGCCATGTCCTTGCAACCGGTCCCTCCGTCGCGGGTGTTCCTGGAACTCGCTCCCTGGACTGACCGAGGCCGGGAGAACGATGCGGTTTCGGGAGAGGCGCTGCCCAGCCTGCGCCGCCCCCTGTCCCCCGCGCAGGCCCAGACGGCTCCCGGCCAGGTGCACGTACGCGGCACCGCGGAGGTGTCTGCGCGCCCCGACCGGGCTCTGCTGGCGGTGCGAGTGAGCAGCACCAAGGAGGCGGCGGCCGAGGCCAAGAAGAGCGTGTGCCGCCGCCTGGACTACATCACGCAGAGTCTCCAGCAGCAGGGTTTGCAGGTGAGAGACCCCGAGGGACTGCGAACCTGGCTGCACAGAGGGGTCGCAGATGGCCAGTGCCCACCCGCACCTGAGCGGGAGGGAAGAGCGCAGGGAATGGAGGGCATTTATGAACCCTTGGTTGTACTGGGTTCCGGACACACCAGGACCTTACAGAGTGAGTCTAGACTGAAGCGATTGTTTGGCCTCGAGTGAACTTGAAAGATAAAAGGTGGCAAATTGGGCAAGGTTTTAATCTGGCACTATTTGCTGCAGCGGTTTTGGTTTTAAACGTAAAATAATGAATAACTTGCTGTATTAGATGTCAATACTGGCCTAAGTAGTGTGTCGTACACTGAGCATTTTTTGTCATGTTTTTATTCTATACCATGGAATTAGCAAGTGAAGAGCAGGACCTGCTTCAGTATCTTTAGCAAACTAAAGAGAGAGGGAGAAGGTTCCATTCATCTTCATTTTATAAAGATTCTCTCACATTTTGAGTTTTAACTTTTTTTTCTAATTAAACAGTATATTGTAGATGCCCCATATATGAACTACCTCTACTTACAAGGTACATATGTGAGTCAAGTCACTCAGGTAAATCTTACTTTAAGTCTACTTCTAAGGAAAGAAGAAAATAAAATGAATTAGCTTTATTTAATCTACACATTACTCTTAGACTTCTTGGGCAGTGTAAGGTGGGAGGCCCAAATCTACCAGGGCTTACTGGTAATACAGATTCCAAAGAGCATGTGTACTGGGAAGTTCACCAGGGGAAGGCATGAGTTTTGTTTACTTAGTGAAATAGGACAGGATGCAGCACTGATGACCCAGTGGTGCATGATCCCTGTGGTCAGGGAGCTCAGGCTCAGGTTGTGTACCTTAAGATCAAAGCATACTGGAACCAGCAGATGGCATAAGGGTTACATCACTGGACTCCCAGTAGTGGACCGGGCTTGAAATCCCATGCTCAGCAGCCTAAAACTCATTCCAGACTCGGGCGGGTGCATGTCCAGGATCACCTAGAGGGAAATGGAGAAGGGATTGTGGGGATGATTTCTTTGGTGAGCACATAGCAAAAAAAGAAAAAAAAAAAAAAACTCTAAAAAGATCAAAGCATATGTAAATCAAGTAAAAGATCATTGCAGACTTCCTGTTGCCAAGACAGGGGTCTGCTTAGTACTTATATTGTTAAACAATTGCAGTAAAATGTTAGCTTATCTAACAGAATTGGGATTATATGTACAGTAATATTTAGTGTCTCTGGTCTTTTGATGTTGAGATGGGAGAGGTTTGCATACTTCTGGGACCCCAGCCCAGAGCCAATTACATGAGGTAAAAGAAGCCTTCAGAAAATGTTTAAGAAGCCCAGCTTGGACCAGTAGCTAGGTCTCAAGACTGGACAATGAAGGAGGGATGGGAAAAGCTCAGTGTGTGGTGCCTATTCACAGGCACGGGTTTTTTTTTGTTTTGTTTTTGGAGAGGTTTTTGCTATAGGGCGCATGCAGTTGCCAGAAAGACAGAGAGAGACAGAAAACGAGAAATCACCAGCAGATGGTGTAATGTTTATGTTGCAGGACTCCTTCATAGTGGACTGCAGTTTGAGTCCTGGACCCAGTGGCTTAAAAGTTATGCCGAGCATATGTGCATGCATGCCCAAAATCCCAAGAAGAGAATGGAGGAGGAGAAGGGATTGCAACGTGGCCATACCCACTGGGGGTTATTTCTCTCTTTCTGTCTATCTGGCGAGTGCATGCACTCTATAGCAGAAATCTCTCTTTAAAAAAAAAGGGGGGGGGGAAAGCCGAACAGTTCATTTCACTACATTTAAAAACCTTTTCTAAAGTAAATACAAAATTTAACTTTTTCATCAGAAAGATGTACCCTATTTTTTTAAAAGAATTATTTATTTACTATTATTATTTAATTCCCAGCCCAGAGCCAATTACATGAGGTAAAAGAAGCCTTCAGAAAATGTTTAAGAAGCCCAGCTTGGACCAGTAGCTAGGTCTCAAGACTGGACAATGAAGGAGGGATGGGAAAAGCTCAGTGTGTGGTGCCTATTCACAGGCACGGGTTTTTTTTTGTTTTGTTTTTGGAGAGGTTTTTGCTATAGGGCGCATGCACTTGCCAGAAAGACAGAGAGAGACAGAAAACGAGAAATCACCAGCAGATGGTGTAATGTTTATGTTGCAGGACTCCTTCATAGTGGACTGCAGTTTGAGTCCTGGACCCAGTGGCTTAAAAGTTATGCCGAGCATATGTGCATGCATGCCCAAAATCCCAAGAAGAGAATGGAGGAGGAGAAGGGATTGCAACGTGGCCATACCCACTGGGGGTTATTTCTCTCTGTCTATCTGGCGAGTGCATGCACTCTATAGCAGAAATCTCTCTTTAAAAAAAAAGGGGGGGGGGAAAGCCGAACAGTTCATTTCACTACATTTAAAAACCTTTTCTAAAGTAAATACAAAATTTAACTTTTTCATCAGAAAGATGTACCCTATTTTTTTAAAAGAATTATTTATTTACTATTATTATTTAATTTGCTATAGGGCATGTGCACTCACCAGAGAGAGACAGAGAGAGTGAAAAAGTAAGCCACCAGGTCTGGGATTCAAACTGCAGTGGTCCATGTGGGAGTCCAGCACCTTAATCACCACAACCACCTGGTGGCCCCTATTTCCCCTATATTTACAGCTTAGAAAACCTTAATATAGGATGTTTTCTAAAAACATCCTGGCCCAGGCCTAGTGCTTCAAGAAACATTTATATCATGATAGTGTAGAATTTACTTTTGCTGAGTGCTTTCTCTGTGCTAAGTATTTTATATACAAGTTTTCGTCAAATCCTCAAAATAGTTCTAAAAAGTATAGATGGTAGATTTTTTAAATATGGAAACTAAGGCTCAGAAAAACTGAGTAACTTTCACAGTAGATATTCAGTAAATTTGTATTCAGTTATTTATAAATTAAACATTTTTAAAGTTCTGACATTCCTGTAACATTAAGTATGCTTTCTGTATAATTTGTCATATAGGTAATGTAAAAATTATTGTAAATGGAGTGACAGTTATGAAATTTTATGCAAATATTTATAGGTTTCTGAATTTATGTCACTTTTAGGAAAATTTTTAAATGTCAGAGCAGTTGTTTTATATACTTTGTATTATCTTCCTGATTTTAATACATTTGGGCTTGTAATTAGTATTTTAGGGTAATTGCATATAGCAGCCAAACATTCAGTAATCATACTCTGGTACTTTCTCTTTCAGTCAGAAAATGTAACAGTGACAAAGGATTTTAGAAGAGTGAAAAATGCTTATCACATGGAAGCAGAGGTGTGTAGTAAATAATTGTGAACAGCATGACTTTGGGGACACGATCTGTCATTCATTTTTAATTCTTGAACTAAGGTATACAGAAGAAAGGCTTCTCATGGTATCGATAAAAGATTTTTTCATAAAATCAGTTTTGGTGTTACACATCTGTGTGAATTTTTGGAATATATTTAATAAGGTTTATTAAAGAAAAGTTTAAAAGGAATGATAATAGCAATGTAGAAATACCAGTTAATTACCACGTGAATAAAATTTCAGTAATATTATTGCCTGGTGACAGGAAACACTATAGAAATTTCTTTTCAGATACAAAGTACATTAATAAAGTCATAACATAAAGGGTTGAAACGCCTTTCAACATTCTTTTGCTTTGCAATGCAATTTCACTGGTTTGTGATAAGTATTATTTAAAAATAAAAACTACTCAGCCACTACATAAATTTAAAAAACAGAACTATTTCTAATATGCTTAGTAGTACAACGTTTAGTTTCTGTAACAGCTTATACCCTTCACTTGTCTTTAAAGATCTGAGGATCAGGATTTATGAAATCAGAGTCTGTTCTACCTGTGGTTAGGTTACAGGACTGCTGTCCATGTCCCATACATTTTGGGCTATGTGTTTAATCCATGCTGTCTCTTTGTCACAGGAAACAAAGAAAAGTGAGGTTAGAGTGGAGTCTTGCTTATCTATGAGATAATCTTTTGTCTTTAGAGACAGAAAATACTTCAACAAATCACTTGATTTTATCTTTAGGCAGGTAATATACTGTTGTACCAATTTTAAAAGTGTGATTTTAGATTCAGACCACTTAGGCCCAGACTCATCCAAGGTCAAATACTAAGAATCAGAAGAGCCAGCAGATGGCACAGCAGGAAAATGTGACACTGCAAGGCTGACCCTCAGGAAGGTCCTGAGGGGCTGCAGACCGCCCTGACTATGCCTGGCCCAGGTGTGCCCGTGATGAGGCTGGCTAAAACTGGGGTCAGTCGCTATGTCAAGACTTTGTCAGAAGTGGTGATGTCTGTTTTTTTTTGCTCATAGAAGGAAGGAAAAAAATGAATTATAATGAAAATTAGAACCATGACCTCTCATCTCCTGAGACAGTAATTTCCAGAATATTGTTTGTTGCCCCAGTGCTTACTTTGATAGTTTAACGATTTCTCCACTTAAAAATTAGTAGTAAGGACTGAAAAAAAAAATACCTTTTAAAACAGGATAAAGAGCAATCTGGTAATACTCTAAATTACAGAATTGAAAAGCTGAGAGTATGTGGGGCAGGTGAGTAACATAGTGATTGTGAAGCTGGACTCCCACATGGCCAAGCACTTTGAAACTCACGTCAGGCTTCTGTGTATGTGTGCCCAAAAATCCCAAGAGGAGAGTGGAGGAGAAAGGATTGCGGCATGGCCATCCCACCCCCCCAGCCCCCCCCCCCCGTGAGTGATTTCTCTCTCTCTGTATCTCTGACAAGTACACATGCCCTATAGCGAAAATCTCTCTCAGAAAGGGCTGTGAGTATGCTATAGCACATCTCTTATAGTTATTACCTGTTAGGACTTCCAATTATAATTTGTAGTGAATTTAGAAAGGAGCAGATTATCTTAGTGAAGAAGGTTTATTGTGAGGGTACACCAGGGATTAAAGAAGAAAAGTTTCCCAGCAACTACACAAACCAGTCTTCATGGAAGACGAATGTTTTTCAGATCACTGAGTTGTTGGTAGGGAGTGACCTTCCAGGTACAGAAAGAATTGTTAGAGTTACTTGTTTTAAGATATGACAAAATAAGGATTTGGCTAAACTGCTCCTCTTCCTTCTGTTTTACTTACCTTTTTCATGGTTTTTATTTGTATTCAAATTTCTTAAGAGAGGATATGATTACATGTTGTATAGGACTTTCTGCTAAGCAAGAATTTATATCATACAATGTAGCACAAAATTGGCTTTAGTTGAGCACAACAGTCAACAAAGACCAGGTTAGTAGGGTTCTGAGATCCAAACTGTGCCAAACCTATGCATTAAAAACCAGTGAATGGTTAGAGCCAGCAGATGGCATAGTGGTTAAGGGCACTGGATTCCCATATGACTGACCACAGTTCAAGTCCTGGACCTGATGACTTACTTTCTCACTTTCTCTCTCTCTCTCTTTCTCGCTTTTGCTCTCTCGCTCTCACTCTCATTCTGGCCCTCGCTGGTTACATTTAAATAACTCAATAAATAAAGTTTGAAAAAATAAAAAACCAACAATAATGAATGGGACCAACAGGTGGTATGGTGGTAAAGGCATTGGACTCCCATGGAACTATGGTGTGGCCATCCCCCTGCCCCCGTGTCTTTCTGTTTCTCTGGCTAGCATAAACACCATGTGGGAAAAACCTTTAAAAATATAAAAAAGACAATGTGTAGCTTTATGACTATGGGTGTAGAAGACTCTGAAAACTGTCTTAAAAAATACCAGCATTTTCACAGACTTTTAATTATATGGATAGGATTAATAACAAAAAAGCAAATAACATGATTGAAAAATTGGCAAAGGGGATGAATAGACATATATCTAAAGAATACATACAGATGACCAACAGATATAAGAAAATGTGCTCAACATTGCTTTCAGAGAAATACAAGACAAACCCACAGTGGGCTATCACTTCACACCTTGGATAGGATGGCTATCATCCTATCACCCCCACCCCAAAAAAAAGGGCAAAAACAGTGTAAGAATGTTTAGAAATTAGAACTCTTGTATGCTGCTGCTGGGAATGTAATATAGTATAACCACTATGGAAAAATGTGGAATGTCTTCAAAACATTTAAAATAGAACTACTGTATGATCTAGCAACCATAATTCTGGGTATATACATGGAAGAATTGATATTCGGATCTGGGAGAAATACCTGTATTTGCAGTGTTATTCAAACCACCAAGATATGGAAACCTTCCAGATATTTATATGACAGACAAATAGATAAAGAAAACGTGCTATATAAGTACAATAGAATATTATTCAGTCTTAAAAAGAAGACAATCTTTGTGCCAACATGGATGTACCTGAAAGGCATCGTGTAGGTGAAATAAGTCATCCACAGAAGGGCAAATACTGCATTATCCCATTGATATGAAGTATGTAAAATAATTAAACCTACAGATGCAGAAAATAGAATGGTGTTTGTCAGAGAATCAGAGGAAGGGGAAATGGGAGGTTCTTGTTTAATGGGTATAAAGCTGGGAGTTATATAAGATGAATAAGTTCTAGATACCTACTGCATAATAGGGCCTATAACTTTAATGTGGTGTTAATGCTCTTAAAAGTGAGTCAGAGATACAAGAAGTAATGGTAATGCACTACCCACTAGAAATGAGTGTGGAGGGGGAAGTCTCAGCAAAAAAATCCTCATCTTAAGTCCCTGAAAGCAATATTTCACAGCTGAAGTTCAGGATCCATGTGAGCAGCCCTGTGTAACTTGTTAATCAATATCCACCCACCGTGATCATATCCAGCCTGTATTTTCATTTTTTTTAACATAAATCAACTTCTCCAGTCTGTGACCATCATAAAACTAAACACATCATAATGTATACTCTGATGTCTCTTTTGCCCAAAGGAGTACATTTGATTCACATCCATGTTTCTCTGTGGATAAGCAGTGCACTGTTTGTGTTTGAGCGATTGGACATTGTATATCACAGTAAATGTATGGCTGTATTGCTTCAAATGTTGGCTAACAAGAATAAAGATATTATGGCTATTTATGTATAAAAAAAAGTAATGGTAATGAAATGGAAGCAGACTGGATGTTTGAAAGAAGATTGATGGATTAATACCAAGTATAGACTGGTTGACTAAAGAGAAAATTGGATGCTTTAGAGTGTCTTAATCTGTTGCAGTTTAAGATGATGAATTGAATCCTTTCTTCTTTTTCCCTGTTTCAAAGTATTAGTATACTTTGTATTCAAACCTGATAAAACATTAATCTTCAGTGGATAACATTTATGATTAAAGACAGCTATTCTTCATTGGGTAAGGTGAGGTCATTGGACCTCTCATTTTCTCTTTGCTACTTCAGCCTACTCTCTAGTACCTGTGCTTTTTTGTTACGTATTTATTGAGCTTATGTAAGAGTTTTTTTTTTTTATAATAAAATGTTTAGCACTGCTCCATAAAGAGTTTAAAGGTAACTACTGAATATAAGGGCTGCTTTGACATATTTAAAGGAAGAGGATGTAGTTGAATACATCAGCTTCAGCATATAGGTCTGAAAATAACTATTCGAATGAGAGAAATACTTAAATGACAACAGTGAAGTAGGATATAATTACTGCTAATCGAGAAGCTAATGGCATAGATTAAGAAATCATAAAGTTATCAGTTATAATTTAGTCAAATAATGAAGATGAAAGGGAAATTTTGCAATTTCACAAAAAGTCTCTGGTTTCAAATGGATTTTTAAATATTCAAGTCAACATCAGATACATTTTAAAATTCATAAGCAAAAACTCAACTTTAATAACAAAGTAATTTAGTTATAAGTATCAAATAGTCTGACTCTCTGTTACATACTATAGAATGTCCTCATAATATGGCTTTGTATTTTTTTACTCCAATTAAAGAATATTTTTAAACAATGCATCAGACATGAAAATAATATTGTCATTTCATTTACAGGTCTGCGTTACATTTACTGAATTTGGAAAAATGCAAAATATTTGTAACTTTTTCGTTGAAAAGCTAGATAGTTCTGTTGTCATCAGCCCACCCCAATTCTATCACACTCCAGGTTCTGTTGAGAATCTTCGGTAAGTATTAGCACATCTTTAACACAGTTATTAATTATTTAAATAAAACTATTCAGTCCTATAGATAGTTGAATGTGATATTAATAATCTCTTCATTTAATTCCCAAGACGACAAGCCTGTCTTGTTGCTGTTGAGAATGCACGGCGTAAAGCTCAAGAAGTCTGTAATCTTGTTGGCCAAACCCTAGGAAAACCTTTACTTATCAAAGAAGAAGAAACAAAAGAATGGGAAGGCCAGGTAGATGATCACCAGTCACCCAGACTCTCAAGTTCACTAACTGTACAACAGAAAATCACAAGTGCGACAATACATGCTGCTTCAAAAGTATTTATAACTTTTGAGGTAAAGGGGAAAGAGAAGAGAAAAAAGCATATCTGAAATACAGCCAAAATATATTTGTATCTTTGTGTCTATTTTTATACTTTTTATAATAATGTTTTCTTTTGTCCTGAATGTTCCATTGTACAGTAAACTATTTCTCTAAAATCTATAGTCTTACAGAATATTTATATTCACTGTTGCTGTTTTCAAAAACTTACTCAAATATTCTGGGAAAGTAAATGTGTTATGGCCACAGGTGTTTACTGATGATACATGCAAGTGCGTGCCTAAGTAATATTTCTGATAGTGAGAACTATCAATGCTTTTATTTCATCATTCCTAAGGATTTTTAAGATAACATTTAAACATTTATGTTAAAACTAGGCTTCAACAAATTCATTTAATGTTTAAAATTGTAAGACAAAAATTTTTACATTTGAAAAAGAATTTTTATATCCCATCAAACCTAATAACTTTCTGCAACTCATGGTGAATATAAATACACTATTTTAAAGACATCCTGTCGAGTCTGAGATTTTGGTTTACCCTACTTAAGCTATTCAGTTAGTCTGTTACCATTTCATGGTTAGTGACAGCAGACATGAAACTCTGGGACAAAAGCAAGGGACTTTTACTCATGGCACAGCAAGGACCAGGCACTTCATATTTCCATTGGTTCCCCTTGTCCCAGGTGTCATGGGGGTACCATGATCTTTTCAAACACAGTATGGCTACATATACAATGAGTTTTCATGGTAGCTGAAAAATACTAAGGTTGGAAGATTCATTGCTTTCTTTTTTTTTTTTAAAGGTTTTTTCCATAGTGCGCATATACTCACCAGAGATAGACAGAGAGAGAGAGAGGGATAGTGAGAAACTCCTGGGGAAGCTAGCCATGCTGCAATCCCTTCTCCTCCATTCTCCTCTTGGGATTTTGGATGTGCACACACACACACACCCAGTGTGATTTTCAGGTCATCAGGTTCAGGATTTGAACCACAGTTGACCATGTGGGAGTACAGCACCTTAACTACCACGCCAGATACTGGCCCAGATTCATTGCTTTTTTATTATGAACAGAGGCAAGTTTATTCTTTATGCTCGAGGGAGACATTGCCTTATTTCTCAAGGATGCTCACTGTAACCTCAAACCTGAGAAATGGCCCAGGTAAAGACTAGTCAGAGTTTTACCTGCCTGTCACATTCCGCAAGATGTGTAAGGTTAAGATCAGCAGAAGACTATCTTTTCCAACTCATCCAGTGGTTTTCTTACTAAGTCCAAAGACCATTTTGTGAAAATGTGGCCAACAACCCAAACTGTAACAGCTTTCCAGTATTAATTGAATGATAAATAATACATAGCTTTTAATAAAAGTGTATTAACGAATTATGCTTGTAAACTATTTTGATGCCCAAATCAAATAATAATCTAATAATAATCCATATGGACCGAACTCTCTTCAACAGGGCTTCTTAAATTATACCAGCACTGTACAATGCAAACCACATGTGTCATTTAAAATTTGCTAATACACACTGGGAAAGAAAAAGTAAAAAAGAAAAAAAACAGTTGAAACAAATTTTTTTCTTTAAGAGAGTTTTGCTATAGGATGAGGGTACTTGCCAGTGAGACAGAGACAGAGAGACAGAAAGTGAGAAATCACCCCCCAGGGGGGATGGTCATGCTGCAGTCTTTCCTCCTCCAGTCTTCTCTCAGGATTTTGGGCACACATGCACATGTGCCCGATGTGAGTTTTAAGCTGTCGGGTCTGGGACTTGAACCATGGTCAACTACATGGGAGTCCAGCAACATAACTATTATGCCATCTACTGGTCCCAAAACTAATTTCAATAACCTATTTTGGTTAATCAGTATATCCAAATATAATTTCTTATTTTTTTTTAAGAGAGGTTTTATCTATAGAGCATGAGCACATGCCAGAAAGAGAGAGACAGAAAGTGAGAAAGCACCCCCCAGGGGGGATGGTCATGCCGCAATCCCTTCTCTTCCATTATCCTCTCGGGATCTTGGGCGCGCACGCACACGTGCCTAATGTGAGTTTAAGCCACCAGGTCTGGGACTCAAACCACAGTCGACTACGTGGGAGTCCAGTGACATAGCCATTATGCCAACTGCTGGTCCCCCAAAATATAATTTCAGCATTAATAAATGTTTTCTAAACATTTATATATTTTATACTCTTTTTTTGGACTAGGTTTTCAAAATCCAGTGTATATTGTTACATTATAGCACATCTCAGTACAGATACTATATTTTCATCACAAATACTGAATATTTAATTGCCTAAAATGTACAATTGAAAAAAATGATTGACCTATCCAAGTTATTTCAAACATGCTTAAAAGATCCCAGGAACTGGACCAGGTAACAGTTTTTAAATTAATTAAAATGAAATTAAGTTTAAAATTAAGTTTCATAGGAACCAGCAGTGGAGACGGAAAGACTGGCAAACATAAAAGTATTGAAAATTGTTAGGGACACTAGGGACACGGTGGAAGGAGAGTGGGAGAGGGGAAGAGTGTAGGAAAGGAAGTTTGGGGGAGAAAATAGAGGTAAGACATTTGTGGGACACAGACATAGTATATTACCTGTTGATGTGTATAGTATTCTCAATTGGGCTGGACTGAGGTGTATATCATGCTGGGTAAAGTCTCTTTACAATCTAAATGATGTGTAGCAATTGAATGTATAAATAATGAAATAATTGGAAAAAATGCAACCAGACAGGCCACCCCAGGGAGAAATCTCAAGAGATGGGAATGTTTACTCAAGGGACCCAATTGTAACAGGTTAAACTGGGACAATTGTAATGATGCTATCATTTAAAATAATAGTTACTCAGAGATGTTTAGGTTGCTTTGTTAAACAGTATAGCTTTAAAAATATATGTTGTAGGGACCAGCAGTTAGCATAATGGCTATGTCACTGGACTCCCACGTAGTTGACCACGGTTCATGTCCTGGACCTGGTGGCTTAAAACTCACACCGGGCATGTGTGCGTGCATGCCCAAGATCCCAAGAGGAGAATGGAGAAGGGATTG